GCGTTAAAAAAACCTTTCTTCCTGAGACTGATATTGTTGGACAGAGTATTTTAAGAGGATGGTAGACATGATATCAGCAATACTTCCAGTCAGTACTCCGGCAGCAGCATTTTTACACCTTGGAAAGTCTTGCCCGCTATTTAAATTGACTTTGATTGAAGTTAATAACAACATCAAATCAAATCAAATCAAGTTTTATTTATATAGCAAATTTATAAACGATTTTTGGTCGAGCCAAAGTGCTGTACATATAATAAAATTAGCCTACAGTAGAGACACTTTACAGCAAATACAACAACACAGATTGTTCAGAATATCAGTATGAGAAAAACGACACCCTCTGTCCTTAGACCCTCACATCGTACAAGGAAAAACTTCCAGAGAAAACCCACAGTTTGAGGGGGGAAAATGGGAACATTGATATTATATAGATATATAGATATATAGCATATCATTGATGCAGTCTTTCTGAACACTTTTAAAATAAAATACTGCAAATGAAGAATATTTGTAATGTTCTGCACAGATAGTGCCTTAAATTGAATTTGAAAACACGTGGCAACTTCATTATTATTAAAGCAGATGAAAAGATTTGTGGAAGGATAACTTCTTCATGGGCTTCAATGGTTCTCTAGATAAAGGGAGTTGTATGGTTGCTTGTATTATCCTCAGATAGTGGTTTGTTACTGACCGGGTCGTATTTCAATTTTAGTTTTTCAATTTTTAAAAAACGAAAATTAAATATCCAGTCGTTTTTTGTTTTTGAATATCCATTATGATCTTGATCATTTCTTCTTCAGGGCAGGGCAGGCTAGTATGCAGGCTACTGTCCCGCAGCTGCTGCCTCTCTGTTGGACCCGAAGAAATGTACAATGTGGCCAAATGAGAGGACAAGTTCCACCTGGTTATGAAATTAAAAGTGAACAAATAACTTGTTTCTGCTCTTTAGCTGCCTTACAGAAAACTGCAGAAGCCTTTGGTGGGATAGACATCGTTTGCAACAACGCTGGCCTGTTGAATGAGGAAATGTGGGAGAAAACTGTCGCTGTAAACCTCGTAAGAAGTAGAGAGAAGCACACTGCACCTGGCTGCTATTATGTCAATTTCTTGTACCCGTAAATTACACCACAACCAGGGGCGCCGTCAGGGATTTTGGGCCCCATGAAAAGATAATCACATTGGTTACTTACACTTTTTTTCCTTAAAGTTCTAAAATTGTTTGGGCCCCTGTCAGTCACGGGCCCTTAGAATCGTCCTAACTTTTCACCCCCTTACGGCGCCCCTGACCACAACACATACAATTGCAGTGTTTCATGAATGACTATTTGCACCACTGCACACAACATTTTTCTTTCTTTTTAATCTTAATTTAGTTCAGTTTTCTGTTTTTTATTTCACAATATGTAGTACACAACAAAGTATTCATAGACATAAAGAAACAAATCACAGCTGTTTACACCAAAATCAACAGTAACTATTCTATGTTTTAGATGGGTGTTATCAGGGTGAGTTACCTGGCTCTGGAGCACATAAGCAAGTTGAGTGGAGGTCGTGGCGGGGTCATCGTCAATGTTGCATCTTTGGCAGGTAAAGACCAGACAAAAAAGTGTCTTTGTTACAAGAAATTATTATTTATTATTATAAACTGCTTTTGACTTTGTTTAAATTCTCATAATTTGCAGAAACGAGTCGGGTAGAAAAGAACAGAGATGATATATCTTGCATAACATACAAATAATATATGTTTCACAAAGAATTAAGCCTGCAGAAAAAGGACGGTATATGGAAAAGCTACATTCATTGCAGCCAAAAAGTTTATAAAGAACTCATCATTTTAAAGAACACTTCACCCACAAAATGACCAAATGTATATCATTTACTTACCTGTTGTAAAATCTTTAAGAACACTTTTTGTCTGAATGATATCACCCCCATCCTGCAGGTCTGGGATCTCTACCAAGCTGTCCTGTCTACACTGCCACCAAGCACGGAGTGGTCGGCTTCACTCGAGCCATGGCGGTAAGGATGGTTTTCGAGAAGAAATGTCCAAAAAATAATTAAACATGTCTCATAGGTGTACTTTTGTATTAACACTTGCTTTTATTGATGACAAAAGTGCAAAATGCAGTGTACTATGAACTCTCAAAAAGTTTGCCATCGGTCGCCATTTTGGCTATTTAACAAAGGTTGCGGGGCATAGCAAAGTGTGGTCCGCGGACCCTAGTGGTCTGTGAGTATAGGCCTATTGGTAAAATGTCACATTTGGAATAAATAAATACATTTCAGTTTTCCGCACTCTCGCGGGAATATCTCCGTAATGGAGCGATGTTAAGTTTCGATTGCATGATATAGCCCAGCGCAACACCTTCATCACACATGTTGCCACTTGTTTGTACCATTTTCAGGCGATTTGTAATCTGTTCTAGAAAAACGATGTGTTTTTTTATATTTGTGAAGTAAGGTGGTCCGCTAGTGTTTTTTTATTGGTTAAGTGGTCCTTGGTATGAAAAAGTTTGAGAAACACTGCTCTATACAAATACAGGTTACAAGTGTGGTTATTTAACATTTAATAAACATGCAACATCAGTGTTGTTGAAAGGAAGCCGCTGTTAATTGTATTGGGTTAATTTAGCAGTCTGCAATGTACCATCAACGATAATGTTGTCAGCTAGCTAGCTAGCTAACAGCTACAATATTCACTTCCAGCTGCTTTGTGATATTTAAGACAACACTATCCAGTCAAAATGCCCATTGCAGTGTTGGCAGAGACATGAGACACAGCTGAAGTAAATACCTGTGTACAATAAGTCAATTAAAGTGTTTTTTAAAGGTCCCATGTCATGGCTCCACTAGCACCCCCCCCCCCCAGCGCATCACAGTTTTGCCGCCGAGAGAGTATGTGTGTGTGAGGAGCTCCACGGATTGGTCCATTTGGTCGTCGTTACGTCACTTGGTTCCCGGAAGAAAACAATGGAAAAAGAAACATCTCCAACGAGGCGTTCTCCGTTCTGGGGCAGCATAGACACGTCTTTTCTGTGTTAGAGTTTTACTCGCTACAGGGTGTACTTTGAGGGTTTGTGACTTTGCATACCGTTTACATAACACACAAGGGAACGGGTAATAACCGGAAAAGCATGACATGGGACCTTTAAGTGCATGTACAGAGATAGTGTTGTGCCCACATAGGTGTGGGAATCAATGCAAATTATATGAAATGCTTTGACATTGTACAGGTTTTTTTTTTGCGAGAATAATTGAATTGCTTTTCCTGAATGAGACACCTTGTCCTTTTAATGTCTTGAACATTGTGCTTCTGGAAGTTGAATCTAAATAATGTGTATGTGGGTTTTTTCCTAGGCTGCCTCTACCGCTTCAGGTTATGGCATACGGTTCAATGTTCTTTGCCCAAGTGTTGTCCAAACTGACCTCTTCGTCAATACTCCATCCAATCTTGGTCAATTCTCCCACCTGGCTGATGCAGCCAAAAAGATTGAAGACAAGTTTGGGATATTAAAGTGAGTCTTGCTTGTGTTGTTAATGATTGTACTAAGGCTCACAAAAAATATCAATTTTATTCAACAATGCATAACCTTAGGTAGCCTACTACCACATACATTTCCATAAAGCATGAAAATAATTCCATTATCTTTAGACTCCTCTATGACTTTACATTCTTTTGAACATGTGTGATACTGGATACAGGCGTATTCATTAAAATCACTGTACCCTTTTTATTTCAGTACGTCTGAGGTAGCAGAGTGCGTACTGGAGCTGGTGAAAGACGAGACGAAGAATGGAGATGCCTTATTGTTGATCCCTAAAGGAAAACAATACATGACTTTTCCATCTTTCAGTTAGAAAATCCCTGCAATTAAATCCACAACGCCAGCATTGGCAGGTTTTGTAGTATTGGATTTTATAATCAAAACTGCAATGCTTCTCTTCTTGAAAGCACAAAATAAAAAAACAAAATGCCTCAAGTGCCTTTGATTACAACTACATCAGACAAATACTTGTATTTAAAATGTCTTAATATTGTCGACAATGTACATGGGAAGTCTAAGCTGGCCACTGTTGCCACTTCTTCTCCCTTCATTAATGTTGCTAGTACTGCTGAAATAAAATATTTGCTTTTGCTTACAATACAGTACATGTGCCCAAGTGAGTCCTTTTAAGGCCCTGTCACACTGTCCCGAAATTGACACTCGATGGACACACGATAAAGGAAATGTTCAAATTCGGCTGTGATCGTAGCAACATCGGGCCATTCGTGAGGGCATCTAAGTCATCGTATGACCGCCGGTGGAGTTTCTCAGGCTCCGGCAGCAACTTCGTGAGCGGCAACTTCGTAAGGCATCGTGAGGGCATCTTGTCAAATCGTGTCATCTTCGTGTTATCATCGGTGCATTCACCCTCACTCTGATCGGGGCGAATGCCCGATGGCACCGATGATAACAAGATGCCCTCACGATGGCCTTACGAAGGGCACAATTGACACACGAATTCAACACGAAAATGAACCTTCGCAAGGTCCTTCGGCAATTTTTTGGCATGCCAAAGATTTTGCCACCGCTCACTAAGTTGCTGCCGGAGCCTGAGAAACTCCACCGGCGGTCATACGATGGCTTAAGATGCCCTCACGAATGGCCCGATGTTGCTACGATCACAGCCGAATTTGAACATTTCCTTTATCGTGTGTCCATCGGGTTGTTTTATTGCACAACAAAATCATGTAAATATATTATGTAAATAACCCAATTTGTGTTCTGTGAAACTAAAAAGGATATAATATATTATTTTGAAGGACAGTTGACAGGAAGTTGTTGTTGTTATGGAAACAACATTACGGAGAAAACGTAATATTTTCTACATATAAAGACGGATAAAGTAAAGAACAAAGTCTGACGATATCAGTACAGTATCATATTACTGTAACATAATTGCTTTTGGTACTTTCATTGCAGTTGTATGTCTTAAATGAAGAAACACACTCCTCAATGTCAGTCTTGGTACTTTATTGACAAAGATGACGACACCCTGAAATAGAGCAATGCCGCAGGATAAGCTGATAAAGTATAACATGAACAATACACATATATTCACATACATATATTAAAGACACACTAAACGGTAGTGGAAACAGTCTTACATGTGTGAGTGGACGAACGTCTCAACCCGAGGCGGAGTGAATGAATAACATGTGGGCTAACATGGCCGCTATGCAGTACCGGGTCAAAGCACGGCATATCCGGGCAGAGACAGCAGTGATGCTGCCCTCTAGTGGCCGGCGATACACTCTTCATTAAATGTAATGTAAATGTTGCCTTTGTATGTGGTTCGGGGCCATCTTCGTGCGAAATGCACAATTCCATATTCGTGTGTCCATCGGGTGTCAATTTCGGGACAGTGTGACAGGGCCTTTACTGTGGTAAAAGTAGCATTGCCAGACTTCAAAAATACTACATTAGTAATAGATGGATACACACACATGCATTAACAGGAAGGCAAAAGGAATGAGCGGACAGATTACCACTGGCATTAGGAGGCATAACCTCTTTTAAAATCACAGTATTAAGTTTGCTGCCTTTATTATGTATGCAAAATATTCAAATAGAGTCAGAAGGCAAAGCCTAAGCAAGCAATCTTTGCTTCTTGAAGATTTTTCAGTGACTGCGAATGACTGAAAGACAGAGTTATGTAAGGTTTTATTCATTTATTAATAACATCAGATTGTTATTTTTGTAGACTATACAGTACATTTACATTTACATTTTTCACATGACTGAAGTATGTTTGCGATTATTATACCATGATGAAACATTTTTAAGCAAATTAGTGCAGTGTGAAACATTACAGGATTCAGTTAGTGCAGTGTGAAACATTACAGGATTCAGTTAGTGCAGTGTGAAACATTACAGGATTCAGTTAGTGCAGTGTGAAACATTACAGGATTCAGTTAGTGCAGTGTGAAACATTACAGGATTCAGTTGGTGGGCTTGGTTTTGTTGGTCCGACTGTATAATCCTAGTTACCTGTTAGGTAAAAACAGGAAATGTCATGTATTTCTTTCCATTGTATATAATTTGTAAGGCCTCTCCATTCTTGGTCTCATCTGTCACCAGCTCGAGGAGGCAATCAGCTACCTCAGACACACTGAAAGAAAAAAGGTACAGGGATTTTAACAGAAGAAGCAAAACCATATTGTAACAGTTACATCACAATATCTTTTTATGTCCTGTTTCCAAATGTGTGAGTGTTGATTTTACGTATTGATTTGAATTTATTTTAGAAAATAAGCCTTATTTAGAGGTAAAGGAAGAACATGTTAAAACGACTCAAATAAAGCGCTCTGCCAAAAAGAAAATGCAGGCAGAAACCTAACCACCCTAACCTATAATCAAAGGATAATATCAATGACAAAACATTACGTTTCTTAAGGCTGCTTCACAATAAAAGCCAACCTGTTTTGCCAGTTGAAAGCTTTTACTGTGAAGCAGTAAACATAATAGGATGCCCCTTAGAGTAATACAGCTCTGACCAGGTGTAATGAGAGTGAACAGTAAACGTGGTAGACTTTGTCACTAGCAAGAATATCTTCTATACAGGGAAATAATAACTGAATATACAAAATGCACAGCAAAAATATGGAATCAAAATAGGTTTGATTAAATAAAAGAAAATTAGCTCACGTGCTTTGTTCTGCATATTTTTGGAATTCATCAGCCAGTTGGAAAAATTGTCCCAATTTGTTCGACAGGCTTGTCAAGAGTTCAGTTTGGACAGAACCTGGGCAAACAGCGTTGAATCGAACACCGTAGCCTGCGGCAGTAGAGGCAGCCTAAAAGATAAACACATAATGAGGCCTTAAATGCTCAGAGGCACAATGTATAGCATACTGGGAATTAAAAGTCATGATGTCCTTTTCTTTATAAATAAAATATATAGTAAAAAACCTTACAGCCATGGCTCGAGTGAAGCCGACCACTCCATGTTTAGTGGCTGTATAGACAGGACAGTTTTTTGCAGGACTCAGACCTGCAGGATGTGGGTGATAAAAGTCAAACAAAAAGAGGGACAGCTTTTAGAGGTATTATACCTGAAAGATGTGGGTTATCATTTAACATACTTTTGTTTTCATACAGTACTTTACTGTTTGATTAATTAATGTCAGAAGTGGGACAAAGATGAACGTTTTCACCAGTTACAGTGTTACCAGGTTTTAATTTAAAATGTTAATGTTTTCTTGTCAAGGTTTTAACAAGAGATTGAACGCAAACACAGTCAAAGAGGAGGGAAGTAAACAAAAAGCGAGATTTTTGAAGAAAATTGAACAAGTACAGACCGAGGGGCACCAGAAACAAGAACAGAAACACAGGCAGGACCTCGGGAAAACCAGACAGGAACTGACAAAGAACAACGGGGAAGATAGGCATTTATAATTAAGACTAATCACAGAGAAAAGAACAGCTGGAGAGAACAGGTGAAACAAAGGGGCAGCAGGTGTACACAATCATACAATCACAGAAAATACATTTGAAAATAAAACAGGAAACAACCTAAAACCAGGATCATGACATGCATTCAAAATGTTTCTATTATAAAAGTTGAAAAGTATTGGCATCAAAATATACTCAAAAGTAAAAGTACTCATTTCAGAATAACATATATGTTTTGATTATAAATATTGATGCATTAATGTGTTTATCAAAGCTGGTGAATGTACAACTGGTTATTATTAGTTTTTTAAAATGTTGATTATATATCACATTAATCCAAATCTGTGAAGGTATTACAATGATTTACCTTTGGTAGTAGGGTAAAAGTGCAAAGTAGCAACACATTTACTTGGGTACAGTACTTGAGTAAATCTACTTGCACTGCATTTCTGTGCCTTTGATTGATTGATATCCTACAAACCCCACATTATAATGCATTGTGGGTCATACCTGCCATGGATGCCATGTTGACGATGACCCCTCCCTGACCTCCAGTCATCTTGTTCATGTGCTCCAGAGCCAGGTAGGTACACCTGACAACAGCCACCTGCATAATAAAACATTTATTGCAGTGCACACGGGGTAATGTTAAACTGAAGAGTTCAGTCAGGTAAGGACATGTTAACCTTTGAAAAGTTTTATTGTAGGTGGTAAATATAAATACAAGTTCTTACGAGGTTTATGGAGATAGTTTTCTCCCACTCTACTTCATTCAAGATGCCAGCGTTGTTGCACAGGATGTCTATTCTGCCAAATTTTGCTAGAGTTTTTTGAAAGGCAGCTTGAAGCAGAAAATAAAGCAATTACTTGTTAACGAATAATTTTGCAGCCAAGTTTGAACACTAGCAGCCATGTTTTCCAGTGCCAACATGTTCAACTCCAACAAGTGAGTGTGTGTTACCTTTGATTTCCTCTTCTGATTCAACATTGCAGTGTAGAAAGAGAGTACTCTGTTCTCCATACAGTTGGTCCAGGGCTTCCTTCAAACTCTCCCCTTTAGTTTTATTCGTATCCAAGAGGGCAACCTGAACGAGTGAAAAGACAACAGATATACAATTGTGCTTTTAATGGCTGCCGGTTTTTTTTTTTTACATAATAAATGCAGCACCGATCAACCTTCATTCATTGTCTTTTATGCTATAATGGCCATACGTAGAAACAACTGTTCTATTTAAAAAGTAACTTTACCTCAGCCCCGTTTTGCAGGAGTAACTCTGTTATTGCTTTTCCTATCCCCTGGGCTGCTCCGGTCACTACGGCAATTTTACCATTTAACGCCATTTCAGGTGTTCAATCAGAAGGGAGGAGGTGGTCAGCCGTATGATCCACTGGAAAGGGATGGATCAAATGATGAGAAAATAGTGAGTTGAGATGGTATTCTGCTTTAAATAGGGAGGAGGTGTAACCTACTCAGGGCCGCCCCACCCTACAGGCCAATAACGCAGGCTGCATGGGGCCCCGCCTTGCGCAGGGGGCCCCGCCCAGAGGGCCTCAGCTGCTGTGCGCAGTTCTCCGCTCAGTTCTCCCCCCCCTCCCCCCCCCTCCCGCGAGAGTGAGAAGTGACAAGGGGAGCACGTCTGTAACCCGACACCGTTGCAATGAATCGACATCTGACCAATCACGGCTTTGATACGGCCACTAGTGCAGGTGAAGAGATGTCGGTGAAAAGACAGTTTCAGTCCGGAGCAAGCAAGAGGGGAAACAAACTAAAACATAAAGAAACCAGTGCTTGAATTGGAATGAAAAAGGTGCCAGTACTCTAAAATCAGCAACTTTTTCAAGTCAATTTTATATATACAGCCCACAAACAAGAATTTGGCTACTACAATGCTGGTGGGTTTGTCTCTTTACTACTGTATATTTTAGAAAGGTTCACTGTACTTAACATTTTTTATGATAGGCAGCGGATATGGCTAAAGCTCAGTAAGGTCAATATTAACTGAAAATATAGCAATCAAAGTCTAGATCTTCTGCTGAAGACACATGAAGCAGAGACCTTTCAGGTGAGAGCCCCTCTGGTGGTGTTCAACATTAATGACAAGGAAACAAAGCTCTGGTCAGAAGCATTTTTTATAAAAAGCTTTAACAAAATTAAGTATTTCTGTACATTTTGAATGCAATCTAACTTTCCAACTCAGAAAACGAAAAACGAAAAAGTGCCAAAAGTCTTCTCACATGGCTGAGCTGCTTTGCAATATACTTCACCACTGAAGAATACAAATATGTATAAAGTAAACTATGATGCAATCTAACTTTCCAACTCAGAAAAATGATAAAGAGCATGAACAAAGAACATGTAAAAACAAATGCAAAATTTGCACAATCTAAAATGAGAAACTGTAACTGCAAGTAACAAAGTCTGAGCCATGGTAAAGAGTTACATTGAACACCAAGCTGATCAGATAACTCCCTGGTTGGTCTGAAGTCCTTCTATCTCCAGGATCTGTACAAATCGGCACATTATGCCAAAAGTCTTCTCACTGGGTGAGCTGCTTTGCAATATACTTCACATTGTTAGAAAAGGCTCCAGAAGGCCTTGGGGACATCAGTATCAGGGGCTGGAGCTGGACAGGCTCTTTCATCAGCACTTCTCCGTCCCTTTGCCAGCCAGGACCTCACATACTGTTCCGGATTGAACTGTCCTAGTGATGGTCCATTACATTTAATGAAAACCAGGCTGGACAGTCGGCTGACAGAGAGAGCATTCCTTTTTGCAGTAAGGATATCGTTCATGCAGCTGAATGCCCGCTCCCACTCACTAGTGGAGACAGCGATGGTTCGGACTGCTTTCAGTAGAGGCTCCATGGCAGCAGGTGTACGGGATGCCCTGGTTTCCTTGTATTCGCGAAAGCCCTGAACAGTCTCTCTCCTGTCCACATTCAGCACTTCGCACAAACGTAGCACCTCTACGTCCCCATACTGTACGTCTAACTCCTCTTCAGGCCAACTTCCAGGATGGATAACTTTCATGTCCTGGATTAGCTGATTGTCCCGGGCCTCCCGGCCATGTAATGGGATTTCTCTTGTGCTGACATGAGAGGCGGTTGTGGAAGTCATTCTGTGTCTCAGATTCTCTACCATACTGCGGAAAAACTGACCTGCATGAATCTGTACAAGCCTGCCATTCTCACGCAGGGCAACACCCTTGAAGGACTTCTCAGCTAGAGCTGTATGAACTGTAGTCATGTGTGGGCCAGGCATGGTGACCATGGATTCAAAAACTCGTATTTCTCGAGTTAAGAGCCTATCTGCTGTAGGCAGTGTCATCTCTCTTTTTTGGAGTTGCCGAGAGAGGTCGCTGAGCTCTGTGAGCGCATCGTACATCAGTCCCAGATTGCTGACAAACGTTGCAGATGTGAGCACATCATCCAGGCCCTTGTACTTTGCTCTGTCTCTGGAATCCCTGCCCGTGTCGTTTGCAGCATTTGTGAAGTGATCATGAAGCACTCGGTAGTTTTCCCAGACTGCTCTGACGCTCCTTTCACTTGAAGCCACCCAGCGGATGGACAAAACACGCCCTATCACCAGGAGACGCTGTCCGACTGCTTGCGCACACTGCGCTAACTGCCTCTGATTTTTGGGGGAGGCATGGAACAAGGAATAGAGTTTGTCAAAAAAGATCTGGAAATGATTGAGCCCTGAGACCTCCTTGACCACATCCCCAACTGCCAGCTCTAGACGATGATTGGAGCAGTGCCACACAAACAGGCTTGGGAATTTACTACACAACTGGGTAGCAACGCCTGTTCTCTTCCCTAGCATGACTGAAGCCCCATCACATGCAAAAGAAACGAAACACTGACCTAAAAAGTCCTCGTTAAAATCTCTTCCAAGACACTCCATTAACGCCTTTGTGATGTCATCAGCCGTTGTTCCATCCAACTCGATCAGCTCCCAAAAAAACGTTTCGGGCTCAGCATCAGCTAATGCTGAGCGTAGACACACAACAAGCACCGTTTTACCACTAATAGTGGTAGATTCATCGACCAAAACACAGAGTTTTCTTTGGTTTTCTGTAATGTCTTTTGCCATTTTTTTCTTCAGCTCATGAGCTATGTGGTCGATGATTTCGCCACAGGTTTTATTGGAGTGCAAAACCCTGCCCACGTTCAGCCCATTCAGTTTATGTACATTCAAATCAATTGGCATGTCTGTGAATGGCCGGCTATGTTTGCCAATTTTATATGCCGTTCGAAAAACTCTGATAGTGGTGTCTAATTCAGATTGATGCATAGGCTGCACTTGATGTTGAATAGTTTCACGTGAAGCAGATGTAAGGATGTCAGCAGCTTTTACATGGGCTTGTGATTCTTTATGTTCTTTGATTTTTTTTCTCAGGCTAGCTTGTTGTTTGCCCTTGTCAACACCGAAATGAGACACTGCACACTCACCCCATTCAGTTGACAGTTTCAGTCCTTGTCCAGTGTGTATTCCCAAAGATTTGACATCTCTGCATATCCGACATCCTAGCTTCTTATCTTTAAGAAGGAGCAATGCATTGGTCTTGCAAAAATATTGCACCTGGTCCGTTGTCCAGCAGTCAGGTGCATCGCTTTGCCCGGTGTTGGTGGTGGCAGTTGCGCCAGCAGCAGCTAACGTAAGAGGCTCTGGAGGAGGCGGCGGAGCTAGTGCTAATGCTAATGCACTAGAACTTGGAGCAGGAGGATCAACCAAAGAAAGCTCCCCATCAGACACAATTTCCAACACAGGCACAGCATTCTCTGTATTTGAAGTTTCTTCCGGCGACAACCGCTGTCTTTTTGCACTTTTATTAATCCACGCTAACATTTTAGAAATGCTAATTTGTGACGTGACTTGCTTTCCTTCTCTCGGGGGCGTGCCTGCTCTGTTCTATCACTCTACATAGCCACCCACTGGGTGGGAGTTGCACTGCATAAACACAACACACGTGCATCTAGGTATGTAAATTGTAAAGCATTAAAACATGGTTTTACTAACAGTTTTCAGTATGTTGTTACTTCGGCATTATTATTATTATTATTTTGAAACGTGTATTACTATTAAATCACGGTCAAATAGGTTAATTTTGACATAGTCGTTTCCACCACAGTATTTACATGGAGAAGATAAGCCCCGCCCCCTCTCCAGCACGTTCTGTTTGAATGACAGGAGTAAACAGCTGACAGCCGCTGTGAAACTCCAGCGGTTAGAGCGATGAGAATGTCCGTTCGGCACCTCATGACGCATCTACTGAGTACCGGGCGGCTGTATATATATATATGGATGTATAATAAGAACGGCGGGAGAGTGTTGAGTACTGGCACGGTGCATGAGTACCGGAGTACCGCCAGCATGCCGGTACTGAGCAAGAAGTGCCGGTACTCCATGGGTCAGAACCAGAAGTGCCGGTACTGCGTACCGGTGAGTACCGGCCCAATTCCAGCACTGAAAGAAACTAGAGCATCACTCGAAGGTGGGTTATTGTATGAGTCAAATGTATAACTTGCAAATGTTGTATAAGTCAAATTGCCAATTGCCAGTTTCAGATTTGTGAAACCTTTATTCTATTTGTGAAAATACAAACAAGGGAGATTTCAGTGCTTTTTGTACATGTAGACCACATTAGACCAGGTCCTGATCTAAAACCACTAGACCTACACTCATCAAATCTGGAATGGATTATCCCAGAGAGTCTAAAGATTCTTTATAACACAGTTTCAGATTTGTGAAATCTTTCTGAAACTGTGTTATAAAGAATCTTTAGACTCTCTGGGATAATCCAGTCCAGATTTGATGAGTGTAGGTCTAGTGGTTTTAGATCAGGACCTGGTCTAATGTGGTCTTCTATGGAATGCCATTTAAGCCAAAATTAAATAAATAAATAAATGGCATTCCATATGATGTTGCTTTGTTTTTTATCAATGGTTTTGTTGATTTGATCTAAAACAAGCTTATAATTTTTGCATTTGGTATGGCCTATTGCTTAAAGATCACCTTTAAAGATGATAAGGAATTATTATAGAGCTAATTGTTGCATGAAATTCAGATCCGCTCATTTTCAGACTAAGGTTCATCACACTGGATAAAAACGTTGTTTCATTGTAGGAAAGATGGCTTGCTACTGCAGATATGCACAACAACGTTTTGCTTAAATATAGTTGTATATACTGTATTACATGTGTCATGGGAGCAAATTAGCCCGGCATTGACTCAAGTAACGACGAGTCATGATATGGAAGAGAATAGATGAAGCAAGAACATTCAAGCCCTTAAATGGGACATTTTTTGTTTAAGTGTACTTTAAAGATTGGATTTAAAACAAAGATGAGGTTAATGCTTCTCCATAGTGCCGATTGAACTAATGTTGATCAATAATCTTGTTCTGACCCACAGTGACACCTGCTGGTAAAACTCCATTCAAAGTGTCCAGGAGATGTTTGCCATTATAATATATGAATAACATTTCAGGTCAGGAATCATATAAACCTTATACAGTAACCTACAGTATAGTAAACGTTTTAAAATCTATATATTTAAAAAAAAAAATCCAAAGTAACATTTTGAAAGTATGCATTAATATGCTTATAATACATCTTTTTTTTTTTAAATAATGGAACATTTTGAATAATCAATAACCATTATTTTAAGGAAAAAAATAAATGCTTGAATATACTGTTTCTTGTAGAGATGATGCAATCATAATATGTATTTAATCAGATGTGCCTCAGCCTGCCACTGTATGTTGCTCCAATAAAGCAAAGGCTCTTATATCATCCTGCCAGCTTTAATTCGGTGTCTCCAACAATTAAGTACCATGTCTCCCATTGGTCGCATGCACATAATGGGCAACATAATTATCAGAGCCAGGGAGAGCAGTAACAAAAACAGAAACGTCTGGAACAGGAAATAACCGAAAAGCCATGTGCAGATGTTTTTTTTTCTCCAGATGGTGTTCTGAACTTCCAGAGAACAAACTGTGGATATCCAGGTCCAGATTGTAAACGTGAAGAAGTGCATGCATTACATTACCGTAAACTTCCTAAAAGATTGAATGCAAAGGCAAAAAGGCTTTTGAATGTCTTCCATATACTACCATTCTTTGATTGTTGCAAGAGGCGTTCTTGTGAAAATAAACGAGACATTTGGAAGTAAGACTCAGGTCTACAGCAACAGTATTTTGATTTTTTTTCAATCACCTTATATACTTTTTCTTAAACAACATTTTAAATACTCCTATATTGAGGAGAGACATTTCTATTTCACTTTTTCTCTTCTAATTATCTTACAGTTTACAACCTGTTTTGCAGGTTCAGATTTTACACACAGAACACAACAAATACAAATATAATGCATTTCTATAGAATCATACTCCTACTCTTCTACACTATTATTTCAGAGGTGAATATTGTATTTACTATTTTTAGTCATTTTTTTAGACAGCTTTAGTTGCTTTGAATGCATTAATTCATATTATTAATATATCCAATAAATCACCAATAATCTATTAAGTATTATATGAAAATAAGATAACATTATTATTGACCCTTGATCCATATAGTTTATGGGTTATAGGGTATAGAAAGAGATTAAGGTCATACAGTGAAATAATTGAATACATTTTTGTTGGGCTACTTTTATTTGTTGTACTTCAAATACATTTGAATTCCTAAACTTATATACTTTTATTTATTTTTAAAATAACATTTGGGAGTTTTACCTTTAACATAATACTGTGTGGTGTTACTAGTTCTGTTGAAGTATAAGATATTTGTCAGTGGTGTAAAGTAACTAAGTACATTTACTCAAGTACTTTACTTAAGTACAATTTTAAAGTACTTGTGCTTTACTTGAGTAGTTTAATTATTTGCTAATTTGTACTTCTAATCTACAATTCAGAGGTAAATAGTAATTAATGCTTCAATAATTATAATCAAAACCAATAATATATAATTCTGAAATGGGCCAATTTGGAAAATGAGTACATTTAGCTGACAATACATTCGTACTTGTACTTGAGTAACATTTTGAATGCAGGACTTTTACTTGTAAAAGGGTATTCCTACTTTTTCTAAAGTAAAAGATCTGAGTACTTCTCCCACCTCTGTAACATCTGCGTATGAGGCGCACTTGAGTTCGGTGTAATCAATCTATTATGAAGAATGTCCCTGCGCTTCTTTTCGCGGCAGTACGGTCAGCCCCCGCCGAAGGGTTCTGTACGTGGCAGCGTCGGTCTGAAACCCCTCTCTGTCCTATTCATAACCCCTGGGTACCAAGTGAGATTGCGTCCACATACTAAAGTGTGAGCTTACACTTCAAGACCTTAGAGAATACAGGTAAGAACACGTTTAATATTGTGTCTTAGCTCTTCTTTACATCACTGGAAGGGGGCTGAGTCGCTTAGCTAGCGCGCATTACCGAACATGCTGTGATAGTTGTCAATTCTGGGTCCAACAGGCTTTTTGGAGGGGAAGCCTATAACACCAGAAGCTTAAAACCGTGTGGTACCGAGCAGGTTAAGGACTCGTTATTTTCTGGAGGTCTGTTTATTTCCGACATGTTGGTTTCATTGTAAGCCTCCGGGAGGTGCATGTTACTGTGTTGCACAAGTGGAGAAAGTTTTTCGAAACATAGCTATAACTTTGTGGGAGAGCATCTCAGTGACAGACAATTACTTTACATGACATTGTTGAATACTTACTCACTTCTTTAACGCGGACTGTTATACGAATTTTTGAATGTTGGCGTAGTAGGATATATTTTTAGCATACAGTCCAGGCTGTTTTGCACAGGCTGCAAAGACATGAGACCCGAAAGAGCTGAAAGTCTCGGGGATTTCTAGAAACAACGATCTGACATCACGGGGACGGTGTTCCGGATTAACTGGTTCCCCGATCAACTGGTTTACAGAGGTGGGGGGCGTGGCCTTCGACTGAAATACACATTTCGATCGCTTCGTCTGTCGTTTACATAAATCTTTTGGTATATTTGGCTCGGTAGGAAGACTTTGATGCACATTCAGTACCAGTGTGTGAGGTTGTGGTTACGATGGAGATATCCGGACGCGAACAGCAGGGACTACAAAAAGAAAAACGAGTTGACTGGGGATGTCTGTTCAAAACGTTGCAAGCTCCAATAAATCATTTAAACCAGCTATTGTTGCCAGACTTATTACTGAATATCGTTCTTAATGTGATACCAAGTCCATCTGAGACATGTGTACACCTTCAGACAGCCTCCAAGTGAAGCACACGTGGTGTACTCATAGTTTGAAAGCAGCGTGGAGAAGTCTTCAGCTGTGAACTGTAAACTGTGATCCTCTCAGGTAAACATCCGCCCAGGGAAACATTTGACCCGCCCAGGTTAAACTGTGTTACGACTTCTGTGGCTATCTACCAGCGATCATGTGTAATATGAAAGACTACACACACATTTATCCCTTATAAAAACAGTATTCTGCAGCACTCATCCAGATAAGATGTGACTGTTAACTCGTTTTGCAAAGATAGCAGCAGAAATGTCATTGCTGCATGTGCAGGTACTTAGACTTTAAAATGCTGATGGGTCATTAATGTTGGTCTCGGCAAACAATATTAGGAATCCTCTATTCAAACATAATATTCAGTGTGCATCGACATGAAAATAACAAAAAAGTTCATGCTGGACTCAAACCCGAGTCCCAACAGCAAAAATCACTCGGGCCATGGTGCGCCACGGATCTACAGAAAGTATTACACCACCACACTTTAATGTGTTGGATGAACTTTGTTAAAAAGTTCCAGAAAGATGCAACCCGACCATCATTTATAATGTGAGCGAATGTATCTACACTTATAATATACATATTATAGTAGGCATTTGGATAAAAGCGTCAGGTAAATGGAATGTCATGTAATGTAATTGACGTGAGTGTTTTGAACACACTTATTTCATTTATGATTCTCCATAAGGTGCCATGTTGAGTTGTGCCGCACGCAGGGCTTGCGTGATTGTTGCTGTTGGGACTCGGGTTTGAGTCCAGCATGAACTTTTTTGTTATTTTCATGTCGATGCACACTGAATTATTATGTTTGAATAGAGAATTCCTAATATTGTTTGCCGAGACCAACATAATGACCCATCAGCATTTTAAAGTCTACCTGCACATGCAGCAATTACATTTCTGCTGCTATCTTTGCAAAACGAGTTAACAGTCACATCTTATCTGGATGAGTGCTGCAGAATACTGTTTTTATAAGGGATACATGTGTGTGTAGTCTTTCATATTACACATGATCGCTGGTAGATAGCCACAGAAGTCGTAACACAGTTTAACCTGGGCGGGTCCCATTTTTCCCTGGGCGGATGTTTAGCTGAGAGGATCACAGTTTACAGTTCACAGCTGAAGACTTCTCCACGCTGCTTTCAAACTATGAGTACACCACGTGTGCTTCACTGGGAGGCTGTCTGAAGGTGTACACAGGTCTCAGATGGACTTGGTATCACATTAAGAACGATATTCAGTAATAAGTCTGGCAACAATAGCTGGTTTAAATGATTTATTGGAGTTTGCAACGTTTTGAACAGACATCCCCAGTCAACTCGTTTTTCTCTTTGTAGTCCCTGCTGTTCGCGTCCGGATATCTCCATCGTAACCACAACCTCACACAGTCCGACGGAATGTGCATCGAAGTCTTCCTACCGAGCCAAATATACCAAAAGATGTATGTAAACGACAGAAGAAGCGATCGAAATGTGTATTTCAGTCGAAGGCCACGCTCCCCACCTCTGTAAACCAGTTGATCGGGGAACCAGTTAATCCGGAACACCGGCTACTATCCAGCTGTGAGCAGAGTCGGGGTCTGCAAGGCAAGGCGCAGGGCAAAGGCATATTTTTCTGTGACAATTTTGGTGATGTCTTACCATTGTTACCTAACTAACCACACTTTACAAATCTATCAAGTTTTAGATCATATATCATTTATGATATGATGAGTCGGTTTACTCATCATATCAATGTGTTTTTATTGGAACTACTTTCTACCAAATAAATAGTGCCAATAAGAAAGTGTGTCAAGCGTGAGCTGTGGTGATGGTTCAGACTGAGTAAGGGGCAATATGTTATTATTTATAACTACTTTTCTAGCAAATAAGTAGTCCCAATAGAAAAAGTGTCAACCTTTAGCTGTGGTGATGTTTCAGAGTAAGGGGCAATATGTTTTTATTGGAACTACTTTCTACCAAAGAAATAGTCCCAACTAATAGGTGTGTCAACCGTTAGCTGTGGTGATGGTTCAGAGTAAGGGGCAATATGTTTTTATTGGAACTACTTTCTACCAAAGAAATAGTCCCAACTAAAACGTGTGTCAACCTTGAGCTGTGGTAATGGTTCAGAGTAAGAGGACACTGGCTTTTGAAAGACATGTTGCTGACGATTTTATATTTAGCACACTAGACATAGGCTTTGTCCACCCTTGTCAAATGCCACAATATATCACTATACACACATCCCCAGAATAAAAGGTTGCATCCACAGTAGGCAAATGTTGCCCTGCAGTGATTTATGTGTAGTATAATGGCAGTAATGGAAAATGGCAGCCATTAGGTTGGGCATACATGGAGGGCACAAAATAGAGGGATGTCATAAATCTGTCAGCAGTAATTGGGCTATAAGGCAGGTGACATGCACTCTAAAGAGACTGATGTCTTGCTAGATTGCTAGAACTGCTTTATTAAGTTGTGTGAGTCTCCATCTGATGCTTCCCCCTTCCATTTATACATTTCATTTGCCTTGAGTTCCCGAGTCTGGTTGTGTCTTTTTATTCTAATTATTGAAGCCATGCTTATCTAAATGTCTGGGTGATTTACATGTACATCTCTTTATTTATCAAAACCTTATTTATATGAGGCTTCAGTGTTTGCATACCAGAACAAGTTTAGCAAGAGATGGTGTGTTTGACTACCCTTGCACATGCAAAATGTGTGTGTGTCTGTTGCTTATGTAAACTAATGCTTATGTAAACTAATGCATGCTTCTTCAAGCCTGTCTGTCTCTTTATGTTAACATATGGCTCACGCTCTGTGATCAGTAACACCGGTATGAATGAGCTCATACCAGATTGAAATGAACATCTTTGCAACACAGCATTCTGGTGATAAATTACTCGGTCTTTCTGCCACGTTGGGATGTTTAGTCATGTCTGGGACACATTTAGAAAATGGTTGTTCTGAAGGAAAACAACCATCTTTTATATTTTAAGCTGCACTTTGTAGCTGCAGATGTTTAAGCTTTCATAGCATCTGAAACAAGTTGTCCTTAATGTCAACCACATAATGGCCAGCAGGAATCTTGGACCTACACCTGGAAATCATTTGAACCCTTTACTATATTTAGAGATTTTTCTTGAACCGTGTCCTCCCTGATATTTTATAGGGGTACACATTCATTTGGTATAGCTTTTGTCCAGAGCAAAACTATATGTTGTGTAGTTCACAGCTAAGGTGATGTTGGACATTTTCACTTATGATGTGTCAGATTTGGGACAGTGATCTTTTTTTTAATGCTGGCTGTATGAAGTTGCAGAATTGCTACAAAACAAAAAAACTGACACTAAGCAGAGACCCACCACTAATCTGCTGGCTCATCAAATAATTAATACAAAATGCACTATCCTGTCCGCAAAGCCAAAGATCTTGAATATATAATGATCTGTAACAGGTTTTTATTGAAGTAAGAAGAGTTTAGTGTAATTGCAATGACACGTTTCAAGTTTGAATTGTGATTCTTTTTCTTTGCTAGTGATGCAAGTTGAATCTCTCAGAATTGTCTGAGCATGTTCACAGCCTGTGGATATTAAGTTTGCACGTATGTGGTGTGTTATATAAAATATGCAATCTGCACACTAGTGTTGGCAGGACTTTGTGTGCCCATATTTTGTCTATGCCTGTGCCCGTTGGGTACATGCCAGCCCTTCCTGCTGATTAACATCGGTCAGAAAAATGCCTGTTTAGGATCAACCGTCTATGCTTTATCTTAGTGCAACACTTGTGGAAGAGTTGGCAACCATCTCCTCTCAACTATGATGACTTAGGTTTTATGGCACGCAACTGCTTTCTTAATCCTGACTGTAGTTTTAATAAAATACTTGACATACCTGCTGGTCTTTGCTGAATGTAATGAAGTAACAATGTGAAGTGCTATGATGCCTTTGGGAGCAAGAAAAGCCACCAGGCTAAGTGAGTTGGAATCCTTGGTTTGAAAGTGTGTCTTTGTTGGCTCTGTTAAATGGAACTGAGATACATAGTTCTATTATGCTCTGGGAATTAGCTTTTAGTTGCATAGGTCAACATGTGATCTGTTTACAATTGAACATTTTACATGATGATTTTTCCAGTACCTTCATTGTCATTGTCTTCTTTATCCCAATCCACCCAACTATCCAATTACTACATTTTAAATATGTTCGGAAGATGTGATTATAAAAAGCCAAGTTGAGTTGACACATTTCCTACAATAATTCAAGGCTTTAAAAAGTCTGAAAGAGTTGTTAGCAGTGGTCCATTTGTCTCGGTTGTCTTGCTGATGCTCTCTTACTCACATCAGTATTTGCTATTATTTGGTTTTGATATTGAATTATACTCTTCAAACTCTCCAGGAATAAAAAGGATGAGAAAAGATCAGTTTTATGTTTCAGCTGTTTTCCGACATCTTGACATAAGTTATATCTGCTTTCCCCCAAACCGGAAAAAATGTTTTTTACATATCCCCCGATTGGCGGTTGTGTAACCCAGGCAGCTGTTGGTGGTACCAGCCAGGACCTTCTCTCTC